CATCAATAAAAGTTGACATGATAGTCTCTAACTTTATTCCTTAATGCAATCTCCTCTATTTTCAGCAATGTATTTAATCAAAGAAAATACCAAAATAACCCCCATGCTAAAAGGCTATGCTGAAAACATGAAGCAAGCATATGTGAATAGTATAAATCATATAAATATTGACCTTCATGACTATAAAATGCAGGTAGAATTATTCATCCCCTGTTAAGGGACATGGAGACTGTCCCCAGCTTTGGGCTATTATGAATGAAGTTGCTGTGGAAATTTGAATACGCTTCCTTGTGTAGACACACTTTCCTTTCCCCCGAGTAGAACACTGACAGTGGGGTTGTGAGGGTGTTTGGTAAGTTTATGCTTAACCTTACAAGAAACCGCCAGGACTCTTCTCCGACGTGATTGTGCTGTTTTGCGCACCCACCAGCAGTGCGTGGGAGTCCCAGTCCTCCCACACCCTTCCACACCCTTGTCACACTTGACATCGTCCGTGTTTTTATTTCTGCTGCTCTAGAGGGCATCGGGAGGTAGTAAGCCCCTCAATGAGGTTTTTTTTTTTTTTGGAGACAGAGTCTCAGTCTGGTCTAGAGTGCCATGGCGTCAGCCTCACTCGCAGCAACCTCAAACTCCTGGTCTCAAGCAATCCTCCTGCCTCAGCCTCCCGAGTAGCTGGGACTACAGGCATGCGCCACCATGCCAAATTTTTATATATATATATAGTTTGTTTATTTGTTTGTTTGTTTTTAGTTGTCTAGCTAATTTCTTTCTATTTTTTGTAGTAGAGATGGGGTCTCAGTCTTGCTGGTCTCGAACTCCTTAGCTCAAGTGATCCGCCTGCCTCAGCATCCCAGAGTGCTAGGATTACAGGCATGAGCCATTGCACCTGGCCAACTTATTCATTCTTTAAGACTTTGATCACTCTTTCCTTTTACTTCATTGTTATCACTGAGATTATTTTGTGAGTTTTCACAACTTCCTGCCCCTTCTTTTCCTTAATGTGCAAATACTTGTATGTTCATTTTGCCCCTTTTCTTTGTAGAAGATATATTCTTCCTGGATAGAAAATTCCCTTCATGTATGCTGTAGATTAGTGCTGTCTAATATAGTAGCCATTAGTGGCTACTTAAAATTAAGTCACATTAAAAACTTAGCTTCTCAGTTGCCCTAGCTCCATTTCAAGTGCTCATACTTTATGGGACGGCGCATCTGTAGATTCCTTTCTTCCCAGTGTTTGAAGGATTGTCCTCTATTGCTGCTTCATCCATGGGCCGCCGTGAACGGGCCTCTACTCATCTTTGTATTCTCTTGTCTCCCTCCTCACTCGCATACCTTGTGCTGCAGTCGCAACAAACCATGTGTGTTTTCTTCAAATACCCTGCTTCATGCCTTTTCACTCCTGTAGACCTCTGCCTGCTGTGCTCTTCCCACAGCTTCCTGACAGACCTACTCGGAGTTGACAGCCTCTTCTGACTGCACTAATCATACGAGATTGTAACAATTTCACACATTTGCTTTTGGCACTCAAGCTGCGGGATCCTTGATGAGTAGGGGTGTACTTTATCTTTGTGTCTGCGTGACCTGGCATTCAAATATCTGTTGAGTTGAAATGAGGATATAGTCTACCCACTGGCTGCCTACTGCGGGCCGATGGTTGTCGTGTACACCTGGAATAGTCTTCCCTGGAGCACTGCCTGAGTTCTGCTTCCTGCCCAGTCCCTTTTAGCTGAGTTCGAGTCCTGGACCTTGACTTCTGTCTGGATGCTTGAATGACGATTTGCATATTATTTTTCTAATCACCCAGAATCCAGGGCAACTCTCCAGCTTCCTACACACTTACACTTTAGGAGGATCAGTCCTCTTGTGGTTCTGTGCGCACTGTGTGGAATCATGGGATCATGTTGTGGCTAGCTTGGAGTGTCCTTCATCCTCATTCAAAATACTAGTCGGGCAACACCCACCGCAAGCAGAACAATCCTTTCCCTGTGACAAAGCTAGTCACTCTGTTCTATAGCTTGTCTTCATTGTTTATATTTGGGTTGTTTTATATTATGTGTGACTTGTTAACTTGCCTATCTTTTTGAGAGTAGTGGTCATTCCTTACTCAAGTCATATAGCTCAGGAACTTTTTCACTTTAGATTATATACCATTAAGTGGTAAAGCAAGAATTTGAATCCTTATGCGCTTTTTTTGTATCCCCAGTATTTGTACATACTTAGTGCTCAGGAAATGCCTTTTGAATTGACCAGTGATCATAGCTCTCTGTAGAATCTACATCTTATTTCTTCTTGGGGTACTTTTTTTTTTTTGAGGCAGAGTCTCACTCTATTGCCTGGGCTAGAGTGAGTGCCGTGGCGTCAGCCTAGCTCACAGCAACCTCAAACTCCTGGGCTCGAGTGATCCTTCTGCCTCAGCCTCCCGGGTAGCTGGGACTACAGGCATGCGCCACCATGCCCGGCTAATTTTTTATATATATATCAGTTGACCAATTAATTTCTTTCTATTTATAGTAGAGACGGGGTCTCACTCTTGCTCAGGCTGGTTTTGAACTCCTGACCTTGAGCAATCCGCCCGCCTCGGCCTCCCAAGAGCTAGGATTACAGGCGTGAGCCACAGCGCCCGGCCCCTTCTTGGGGTTTTAACATACTTAGGTGCTTGGGCTTTGGAGTCAGACTGTCTGGGTTTAAATTCTTGCCTTACTACTTGCCAGTTGTTTGACCCAAACAAGTGATCTCTCTAAGCCTTAGTTTCTCCATCTCTAAATAGTTCCTATCTTTAAGGAGACAGTACAGGTAAATCATTTATCTTGGGACCACTCAGTTCTGTTCATAGTACTTGTCCTGCTACTCTGACTTAGCTATTAGCTTCTTAGTCTTTCCTGCCCCTTGGCACTCCATGATTTTTTTTATTTTTATTTTTTACTAGCAGAGCCAATGAGACATTTAAGTGCATTTCTAGTAGACAGTTAGCAAAAGGAGAACCTGGAGAAAGGTCTGAGCTACAGTTGTGTTTGGTAGATGTTGGTTAGAACTTGGAAGCCTGAGCTAGTATATATGAAAAGACAAATAGCACGCCATGGGATTTTGAAATACGGTTCCAGGAGCCATGTCTTTGGGCAACCCAGTTTCCAAATATTTTTTATAGGCCTTCTAATTATCTATTGACATCCATAAAATACAGGATCACACACTTAGAAGAGCAGGACAGAAATTTAAAGTGCCCCTTTGCTGCAACCCACTAAAGGTTTATGTTTTTCTACTAAAATGTTCTTATTGTTAGATCACACATCCTAGGTTTTGCTTTAGAAGATGTGATTATCATAGGTGTGACCACATTTGGCAAGTAGGAGGAAGAGAAGTTGCCAAAGGAAATATTAATACTTGCAAAGAAAGATTTCATTAGTATTGTGCTGTCTTTTTAGTCAATAAGATATGTCTTACTGATACACACACATACATATATATCTTATCACCCTAGTAGATGATTTTGTATCAGAGAATGGAGCAAGGAGTAAGAAGAGTTGGTGCACATGAAACTAGACAAAGTGTGAGAAGAGAGGGTACCACAGGAATGTCTGAATCTAGATGCTTAGTGGATGATTTGTATATGACTAAATTCCAAGCCATATTTTGTTCTCATAATTTTGATAGTTCTCTTAGAATAATAAAATGCTCCTTTGAAGAAAATGGGTTACCAGGGCCTTTTGTCTATTTGCTTTTACGAAGAGTTTTATTAGATAAAATGGTAATCTTTTATATCTTTATAATGCTATCTTACTATGAAAATCAAGAGTGAAATATTTTAGATAAAAATAACACTGAAAATTGCTGATTTGTCATCCATATCCTTGATTTGTTTTTCATTGTCTCTAAAAAGAAACATCCCAAGTTTTAATGTATGTATTTAATATCAGACTATGACCATTAATGTTAACAGCTGATAGCATTCTTGAATTTAAGCTTTTGCTCCCTGATAATGCAGAAACTTTATTTTCCAAGAATAAATCATTGCAGTTATTATTCATTTGACAGATTAGAATAGAAGCCATTTTATAAATTCACTACTTTAACTCTTAAAATGATAGAGCTACATAATTTAGAGTGCTTGTTAATAGGGAGAGAATGATATCCTGCCTTGCTGGTTGTAGTCTTTTGATTCCAGTTTATGGTACGCTGAAAACAAAATAAAAAAATATGTATGAATAACTTTGAGAAGACAAACGTTTTATGTTAGTTAGAACTCTTCCATGTTTAATGACCGCCACTTTTTTTAGCAGAGAGAAAGTGAGTGTGGATTGATAAAAAGAGGCAGAATTATTTTGTATTGTGAGTACTATATTTTGTATATTGTCTGTCATCTGTTAGACCTTGCTTCTTAATCAGGATAAAAGAGATGAACAGGTATTAAGTAATGTTAAAAGTACATAGAATCTAGGTAGCAAGATAATTGTACTCCAGGGGTTTTATAAAGTGTTAGCCCCAGCTGAGCATTTTTAAAAGATGGTAATCTCAAGAGATCTAATTATTTCATGACTTACATTTACCTAATCAGAATGTGTCTTCTGAATGGGCATTTCATCTTTTTGATGGAAACCTTTATTGCATAGTAGTTGGTTTTAAAGTTTAGAAAGAGAAAAAGCAGAAAAACCAATTTAACCATGGAAGTTCTCATTTTCTGCAAAAAGTGAACATCTTGGAATAATATAAGCATAGGTACATTGTAACTTTGTTCTGTGAAGTCAAACATCTTGTTTACATGCTGCTAATATGCTGCCTGTCTTACGAGAAAAGGAAGGAGCAAATGAAAAGCTTACAGGACTCTCAGTTCTCGGTGAGAGGCCCTGTCAGTGCAGAAGGGCTTGCCGGGTCTTCCGCGTGTGGGAGAGTGGCGTTGCCAGCATTCCCTGTGCGCCGCGTTCTCACCCTCTAGGGATAATCGAGCAGAGAGAGGGAAGCCAGGGACTTTTTTCTCTCAAAAGTACTTTTTCTTTTTTTCCCAGTTGCCACAGCTTTCCTACTTTACGTCAGCGGTGGTACTGAAGCTGGAGTGAGGCCCGTGAGGACTGGCTTTGCCATTTAGAGGATATGGCAGCCACTTTCCGTGAATCACACGAGCTACATGGCTGTGTCCAAGACTTTGAGAAGTGTATGTTGCAGACATGTTTTCAATGTGATATGCTGAAAATTGTAGCCCCTTGAACTCTGAGAATTTTGAAGTATATCAAGTGCCTTTTACAGCGCTTGCTGCAAAGTAGGCTTTCAGAATTAGTGGAACATTGGATACTAAATGGCTTCAAGAATATGGTACCTAACAATTTATACTGTGGCTTTTATAACTACACATAGAAGAGAAAAATCTTGGTTTTGGAATGACTGATTTAAACTTGTCAAATAATTTATAGGTCAGGTATCACTAACGTAGAAACTTATGTTATCAAGTTGATCTTTATGCAGTGTTGAAACCAGATCAATTCAGATTCAGTTTCGATTGACTTCTAAGTAGTTTTAATTTTTTTAATTAAGGGAGACTGAAAATTAGTCAGATTCCTTGTGCTTTTTCAGAATTTAGAAGTAGTGAAAATATACATGTAAGATGTTTTAATGATATGAAAAAGGAGACTACTTAGATTGCAGTTGTAAACAGTTTTATCCATAGGTTTTTCTTAAATGACCTATGAGTGTCATTAAATTCTTGAAGAGAATGTAGTACAAATTAGAAAGTCTTAACAAAAAAGGACATGTCATCTGGAATACTATTTTTAGATTATCGTAGATTAATCTACTGCTGACTATTTAATGACCTGTAAAGAGGAAAGGAGCTAATTTAGACCAGATTGGGATGGTCTACACTGTTAAAGCACTCTCTGATTGATCCTAAAAATTAAAGATGGAAAAGACTTTGGTAATTTGATTTGATTTTTGCATGGGTGATTGGATTTCCTATAGTTGATACATAGGAGTTCAGGGTTTCTTTTTGTGCTGTGGATAAATGCAAGTCAAGTGTTCATCTATTACATAAACACTCGAATGCCTTAAACACCTGTTCTAGGCAGGTGTGCCAGATACTGGGAATACAATGGTGTGCAAGAGAGATGGCTCCTAAGATTGAGTATTATCAAAATGTAATAGGCTGAATTACATGGCTTAACTTTGGCCAGGAAAAACGACTTGTTTGCCTCTGAAGTAGGTTGGAATGGGGAAAAAAAATTAAGAGACAAGACACATGTATTAACATGTGCTTTGTTTCTGAGCAGTTGTGATGTTTTTGTATTTAGTTTTCTCCACATGTGTCTATCCTATTTGCAGCAGATAGTATTTATCTGCAAGATAACTTTTAACCAGAATGAATGATCAAAGAGAATTTATAGAAAGAAACTGGTTTGGTTGTGGTGGTAAGCTTTTTTTTTTAAAATCAACTATGTATTCTCATTTAAAAGAATATGATAAACAACATGGTATTTAAAACATATCAATTATTCTATGTTAACATTTTTTATTAAAGGGGTAATAACATTTTAATTTATTTAAAGTTTTAAATGGTAGAAGTTAAGAGAGAAGAGACCCCCTACCAAACTCACCCAAGCTAACCTTGTGTCTTATATTTTGTATCCCTCAAGGCTGTTGCACATACTGGTGAGTGAATGGGTTCATTGAAGATGTTTACCCTGGAGTATTTTATCTTGGCAACATTGTTAAAACCATAATACTGATACAATTGAGAAAAATTGTTTAAAATGGAAGGCTGCTCTTTCAAAAATAGCTATTATTTTGAACATTTTAATTTCGTGGTAAACAAGTAAAAATGTTTTAAATTATATTTTTTCTTCAAAATACTTTTTAATAATTTTCAGTTCTCTAATGAAGTCTCTCAGTCTCAAATAACCCAATTTACCATAAGTTAATCTTTAGGTTTTATATTTAAATATTGGCTACTAAACTTTTTTAAAAAAAAGACTTTATTTTAAAATTAGGAACTTGAATTGGAAAACATTTAGAAGTGATTCTTTATTGAAGGAATAGGCTATGAGAGGTGTCTTTTGTTGAATGCAATAAATTACTTAATGGCAGTTACACCTTAAAATCTAGGACTTACAAATGGTTAGTAGAATTATAAGCTTTATACACCCTACTTTAAAAATTGATGATAAACATGTTTAATGTCTAATTCATGCTTTATGCTTGTTATAAAATAATAACATATGTTTAAAAGCAGTCCAGGTTGATTTTGTCCAAGGTAACAAGTCAGAAATTTCAAGATACTAAAATGATGTAAGAAGTGGATATAGAGGTGAAGTTAAAAGGAAAAGTTTTCTCTGCTTATAGCTAAATGAATGTAATTATTTAGAAACTTACTTTAAGATATAAAAAAACTAAAAAATTACTTAGTAAAAAACTAATACTTGCAGAAACTTGTACTCATCAGTTATGTCACTCCTCTTGGTGTAGTTGAAACTTTTAATACTTATCCTTTACTATAGATTTAACTAAGTAACATCTTAAATAAAAATGACTATTTCCACTCTTATGTCCTATTTTGTCTTTTAAAATCAGCCTTATTGATGGCCGGGCGCTGTGGCTCACGCCTGTAATCCTAGCTCTTGGGAGGCCGAGGCGGGCGGATTGCTCAAGGTCAGGAGTTCGAAACCAGCCTGAGCAAGAGCGAGACCCGTCTCTACTATAAATAGAAAGAATTAATTGGCCAACTGATATATATAAAAAATTAGCGGGCATAGTGGCGCATGCCTGTAGTCCCAGCTACTCGGGAGGCTGAGGCAGAAGGATCACTGGAGCCCAGGAGTTTGAGGTTGCTGTGAGCTAGGCTGACGCCACGGCACTCACTCTAGCCTGGGCAACAGAGGAGACTCTGTCTCAAAAAAAAAAAAAAAAAACAAATCAGCCTTATTGAGGTAATTTACATAAAATTAATTCATTAATTTAAGTGTGCAATTTTAGTTATGACATACATAGTTGTGTACCCACTCCCACCACAGTCATGATAGTAGGACATTTCTATCACCTAAGAAAGATTCCTTGTATCTCTTTGAAGTCAATCCTGTGGTCCCTGGATCTGCTGTCTGTTATAAGTTGCATTTTTGTAGCATTTCATATAAATGAAATCATTTATGTAGTCTTTTGTATCTTTTTTCTTGTAAGTAGCATAATAATTTGGAGATACACTCATACTGTGTTTCTCATGTTACTCCTTTGTATTGCTGAGTAGCACACAGTTCCCATGGCCATCCACCGTCTTATGGATGTTTGGGTGTTTCCAGTTCTTGGCTGTTAAAAATAAGATCACTGTGAACATTTCAGTGCAAGTCTTTGCGTGGACATGTATGTAAAGACATAGGAGTGAAACTTTGCTCTATTTTAAATGTAACATTTCATTCTTAGTTTGGTAGGAAGATAGAAAAGTATATTAAACCAAAAGATTAATACTTATCTCAGGAAAGAATTAAATAGCCAGCTATTACTCTGTTTTATTCTTTATCCCTGCCTCAAAGCTACTGCTGTTTCCTTTAACTACTCTAAAATGGTATTCCGTATTTTCAACTATTATTTATAAAAATAGGCTGGATTTTGAATGGGTTGGTTGACCCTTGGCCATGTTGCAACACTTCCTGTCCCTGTTCCCTAGTGTTTCTACCTTATACTCAGTTTTATTGTTAGGAGCCTTTGTATTTCTTTCTAAATCACCTCTTTCTCTTCAGTTTGAGAATCAGTGCAATTGAATTACAGGAAATAAGGAGAACTACAGACCAAGTTTGATGTGTAATGTCATATATTAGGAGTTTGTTAGAATTCCACTTCATGACCATGTTGCTATGACTAATGACTTAATTGAAGCCTGTGAAGTGACCCATATTTGCTGACCTGTATGTGTATATTATAATCTCCTTGGCAGTGTAGGTGTAAGAATTAGTTTAGAAGACAAGGGATACCTGAAAACTTGGTCCCTGCTCTCGCAGGTATATTTGTCTGTTTACATACATGTGCCCATATACACATCCTGTATTTCTTAATTAGGGATTTCAGGTTTAAATTGGCTTAAATTTTAGGTTTGAGTTTGTTAAGTTTCATATACAGTGTGGGTTATTATGATCCTTTATTTAGCATCATTTACATGCAGCATTCAGAGAATTAGAGTTTAAATTGAGATGGAAAACACAGAGAGCTAATAGAGGTATCTTGCAGGGTGGAGGATTTAACACCCACTACCTGAGAAGATGGGAGAGAAGACAGACATTGGGATTGAGATAAACATGTTGCTTATTTTGCAGGTGGGCATTCTATAATACAAGAACTATTAAAATGCTTCTTTAAACAAGGTGGTGTTTGGTACTCTGGGGGTTGCAAAGAGTAATCTGACAGAGAGCCTGCCTGAATGGAGCACAGCTGGCAGCAGAGCTCAGGCCTGGAACTAGCTACGGCACCAGTAAATGCTGAGCCATCGGCTGCTGATGCCTGATGTAGAGTACATCCAGATGAGTATAAGAAGCTGAAATTCTTCCTTCTTCCAGGTCAGATTTTCTCCTTCATGACCCTCTCCAGTTCCTGCTTCCGTCTCTCATCAACAGGGAACTAGGTGATGTGTCAGTCGGTCCACTCCTTTTCAGTGTGAATTGTCTGTGAGAATTTCTTAGTAGACTAAGGGCCCTCTTGGTTTGGGGCTTCTTGATAAGTTAGAAATGGGAATGTGGCATAAGATGCAGCCAAAGCTGTGCTTTTACAGCTCTTGCAGTCTATGGAATGGACTCGTAGAGTAGCAGTGGCAGAAGACAATGGAAGATGAGCTAAAATGTGGAGGAAAAATCTGTTTAACATTGGAGAGGAAGGAAACTTGAATTGTATGGTGGGCCGGTACAGTGGCTTACACCTGTGATCCTAGCACTTTGGGAGGACTAATTGGGAGGATTGCTTGAGGCCATGAGTTTGAGACCAGCCTGAACATCAAGAGCAAGACCCCCCATCTCTGTGAAAATAGAAATTTAGGCTGAGGGTGATGGCACACCGCCTGTATTCCGGTACATCAGGAGGCCGAAGCAGGAGGATTGCTTGAGTCCAGAAGTTTGAGGTGTAGTGACTGTGAAGATGCCACTGCACTCTAGTGGGTGAAAGAGGGAGACCCTGTCAGGAAGGAAGGGG